ATGTGAAGCAAAGCCTCATTATTCTTGTCTCCAAAGAGCACTCTGCTGCACCCTCTCCAAGACCTATCTGTTCATTCTCTTGGCTGTTCATGGGATGGCCAATGTTCTTCTCCAACACCACAGAACAAAGGCGTCAATGGGACACAAATATATCTTGTTTGTAGTTATGATTGTTGCTTTTATGTACCGTCAAGTCACCTGCAACTCATAGCGACTCTATGCACAATAGCTCTGAACGCTGTCCTATTTTGAGCTAACCTGTCTCCAACACACCTAGTCCCATTTTCCTAGTCATTGTGTTAATACGTCTCCTCCAGGTTCTTGCTCCCCTGCACTGTTCCTCCAACTTTCCAAGGGCTGGTCCCTCCAGGCAACATGTCTAAAGTATGTGAGATGTAGCTTCAAAATCCTTGCCTCCAAGAAGCAGCTCGGTTTCACCCTCTCCAGGACAAACCTATTTATTCTTTTGGTAGTTTATACTATGTTCAATACTGTTCTCCAGCACCACTACTAAAAGTCATCTATTCATTAAGTCAGTGTCCGGCTCTCTGACATGTAGCAAGTTATTGTGAAGACCATGGCCTGGATCAGGTGCACCTCAGTATCTAGACTGACACCATTGCTCTTTAACACTCTGAGGATGTCGCTGATGGCATTTTCCTAATGCAATTCATCTTTTGATTTGACTGTTAATGCCAAGACAGTGTTCACTGTGATGTGTTGAGCAAGATGGAATTGTTAACAACCTCAATCTCTTCTCCATCTGTCATGGTGCTGCCAATTGGCCCACTGGTTAAGAATCTTTGTGTAATCTGCAGATTACAGTCCCTGATCTTCTGCAGCAAACCCTTCAGGATCTCCTCAGTTTCAGCAAGCAAGTTTGTATCATTTGGATAATGCTGGTTGTTGATGAGTCTTCCTCCAATACTGATACCACATTCTACCTCATAAAGCCTAGCTTCCTAAATGATCTGTTCCACATATAGACTGAAAAGGTGTCCCTGATGCACTCTTTTCTTGATTTTGAACCATGTAGAGTTTCCTTGCTCTGTTCTAATGACTGCTTTCTGGTCCAAGTATAGGTTTCACACTGCACCAAAAAGAGCTGGCTGACACAGAATAATTTCATGAAACAACATATGACAAAGAGGCAGTGGTGATGAAGGAGGAAGTTCAGGCAGCTCTGAAGGAACTGGCAAGAAACAAGGTCCCAGGAATTGATGGAATATCAATTGACATATTTCAACAAACAGATGTAGACGTGCTCACCATGTTATACCAAGAAATCTGGAGGAGAACTAACTACCGGTCCAAATGACTGAAAAAGATTCTATTTATTCCCATTCCCCCCCAAAAATGTGATCTGACAGAATGTGGAAATTATCACATCATATCACTACTATGACAAGCAAGAAAAATTCTGCTGAAGATTATAAAAAAATGATTGGAACAGGATATGGACCAAGAACTATTAGTAATACAAGCTGGATTTAGAAGGTGTCATGGCACTAGGTACATTATCTCCAATGTCAGAAGGCTTTTGGCTGAAAGCACAGACAACTAGAGTAATGTCTATCTATGTTTCATTGACTATGCAAAGTCATTTGACTGTGTAGAACACAACAATTTGTGGCTAATCTTGAGAAGAATGGGTTATGATTAGGAAACCAAACAAAATGTGTTAGTCATTTCATACATTATCTCTGGAATACACACTATGGGAAAGGATCTAAGCTCATCCCTGACGACTGTTTATGAACAAAATTACAAGGTCAGGAACAGGGTGGGATTTGCAATCTAGCTGTTTTAACCAGAAAATAAGACACAGGCTTCACCAGGGATCTAATACAAATTATTCTCATGCTAGGCATTAAGACTTAGGTCCAGGGGAGGGCTAGGCAGGGAGAAAAGTGCAACAACGAGTGAATGAATGGAAATCCAAAATCTCTGTAAATGTTCATTAAAATTATAAAAATAAAATCTAAAAAAAATAAGAAA